GCTTGAGGTGCTACTTGCCATCATAGAATTTGCGTGGTGTTTAATTTCAACAAATGTTTCCGAAGAGATACTGTATTAATCTTTCCTATTAATAAAACAAAATTTCATTTTATATATTAATCGAATGATGTTGTCATAGTTTTAATATTTACATTATTTTAAAATCATAGTTTCTCATAAATTACTAACGGTAGTGAACAAACGTCTTTACTCCAACGATTCTTAGCTAGTATTTTTGCTGATGATTCGAAAATTTGTATTTACATATTACATGATGATAGTAGATTAGCTACAAAAATGCTCTTAAATTGCATAAGTCGAATGAGAAATATCATGAATGATGATGGATAGAATCTATCTTTCTTTGACCTTCATACTTCTGTACAAGAACGCTTTTACGACCTAGTTGATCTTTCATTATGATATCCTATGTGACAGTTGTCTACGTTATTGATTTCATTGAAGTTCTTAAAATCTTTCTAAAACTGTGGCCATTTGACTGTGATTATTGATGTGAAAAAAATCAATTTGTCACTCTTTGAAAACAATAACTTGTTAATATTTCAATGAAAGGAAGTCAGATGTTTAGCAGCAATGTCAAACTTGAAAGTTGAATTCAACTATTGAAGTCATTTCAAGTATTTAACATATTTCAAAAGAAAGAGTTTTACTCCTTAAGTGTTTTGCCGCGTCAAAACTTTGTGTCTCCAATTTTATCCATTATCCATAAAGGTTTCCCTTCCACTATCAAGATACCTCTATATATCTAACTAATTGAATACTTCAATATTTGAAAGTTGAAACTTTGAATAGTAGAATATTTAAGACTGTCTTCAAAAACTGAATCTAAAAATCAATTATCGCATCTATCAGAAAACGATGAAAACAAAAGTTTGAAAATCGTTTCTAATAAATAGGAAAGTTTCATTCTATTTACACTTAAATAACCGTAGAGTTTTGAGTAAAACACCTATTCCAATGTAAAAACTGCCATTTGAGCAGGACTCGAATGCAAAAAAGATGGTAACACTTACTTATTGCTTGTACTGTTATTCCTGTACTCCGCTTGAAATTCTGACTGTCAGAGTAAGGGCAACTGCTTTTGATAGAATCCTCTTTTCAGTAGCAAATAACATTATCTTAGAAGAATCCGTCATATATATATATATATATATATATGTTACAGCATACACACGTTGGAAAGATAAACAGAACATCATGATGTTTTTATCTTCGTTTCTGTGTGGTGTGTTGATGCTGCTGTCTTAGTTTGTTGCCTCTTATCTGTAAAAAGAAAGAAAAATTTATCGCATATACAGAGCGCTCCAAAACTCCCTGGGAAGATTTTACGTAAATATCTCTGATACCATTCAAGGGGCTAGAGACTAGGTATCGATGGATGTGCATGTAGGGTAGGGATATCGGGGTTTCCATTCTCTACGTTCTATTCCTTGGGAATGCAACCAACTCGAAGATTCATTTCCGCGCGTTTTTGATTATATTGAGACTTATGGACATTACTTATTCTTTGAATCCGTATCAAGCCGGTATGGGTTTCCAAGAATGGAATCCACTCCAGGTTCTGAGTTTACGAGAACGAAACCCACTCCACGTTCCGGGTTTCCAAGAACAGAACCAGAAACTGACACCCCACACTGTGGGATGTGAATGTGACAGAAGGATTCAGGGGAAGAGAAGAACCACACCCAGACCAACACCCATACCCTTTTTCGTCCAAGAAAAAGAAAGTTATTGCACAAGAAGATAAGACGATGATGATTCTATTTGCTACTTTCTCAATTTTTATTTATTGTGATGCAAAACATTTACTAACATGAAGAAAACTGGTTACCTCGTGAGAACGATTATATGAATTTGTGCAATGTTTTTAATGCGCATTGTCTGATGAGACTACTATTTCACAAATCATATTCTTTGAAAAAGTTCTCCAAAAAATTTTATAAATTTTTTTGAAATATCTTTTCCTAATATGATGGAGCTATCAGATATTTTCATACAGCATGCTTGTTAGAGCATGACTCAATCAATATTATTCCTTTCAGGATCTTTAACAGGTAGTAGGTAAATTCGACAAATTTACATAAAACCATGCAAATAGTAGTGTTTGTTGCACTAAAGTTTTTTAAATACTATAAAAATCTCAGATTTATATTGGAACAAAAAAGTACTTAAGATATGAGAATTTTACGTTAATTATTCTTTCAAAAAAAAAGAGAGTTATGCGTCGAACTTTTAAAATAATCTAGTACAATTCTTTTTCTTTCATAAAATTTTCTAAACGCCATTCACAAGTGGTCTACAGCAAACGAGTGAGAGCACGATAAAATCACCGAGTTCCAGCACTCATTTTAAATTGAAGAATAAAACTGATTCAGTAAATTTTTTTTTATTAGATGATTCGATATAACCCCCTTCTGTAGCCAGTAACATAGACAGCAAGGAGTCTAAAAAATCGCGACTCGGCTCGAGTCGAGTTACTGAGCGGTGACTCTAACAAATCAATTGACTTCTTTCATTCGGTTAAGATTACTGATATGCAATAGAACGTGTAGAGCAATAATAGTGAAATGAAACATCTGTAATTCAGACGTTTCGTTTACTATGATCAAGCAAAACTTCGCATTGACTCGAGATTTTTTCTAAATGTTTTTGCTTATAAAACCTACTAGGCGCGTTTTGTAAGCTGAGCATATTTGGAGAAACCAAGAAGTCAGTAGACTTCAGTTTTTTCTACGAAAGTAAAGACTGACCGGGTGTTGGCTTTCATCCAAAATATCAACACCAAAAAGTAATACCAGAACTGGATTGTTTTTTGTCTCAAGTCTTAATAAAGCAGTTTATATTAATGTTGTAAAGATTCATAACACCCAAAATTATAAATGAAAATCTAGAATTTTTCATAGAACTACATACACATCTATCAGATTTGCGATTTTTTTAAAAGAGAAACTGTTCAAACTATTCTCACTACTATTTTTCTTATAGAAGTTTAAAAATAATCCTTTCAAGATGTCCAATTGCATATACTGCAAATAATTTATCGGTGGAATCATGTTATAAGTCAAAGAAAATAAAGATACGAAGAATTTTTTATCTGTCTTCACAACTACAGTCGTCAAATCGCATAACTCTTGGATTTTACAAGCCACATAGTCAACTTGAACCCACACCCACATCCGCATGCTAGACGAGTGAGTGGCGAATGAAGATAATACAGAATAGTCATCAAGAGAGCTCACGATTTGATTCAAACAAAAAAAGATTTTATAATACAAGCAAGCCAATAGCCGAGAGAAAGTGAAGAGAAAAATACAAATTACTATTCTGTTCATTTTCAACTCTTCCCATCAATTAAAGCATTATTTTGATATCGTGCAAGTGTCATTTGAGAAAGCCATTATTTTGAGTGTTTGAATAATCGAATTCTGCAAGTTTGACGCGACTCGATTTCGGTCTATGTTTGATATACAAAGTGATACCGGTGTCTTTTTTATGTTAGTTTTAGAAAAACCAATACATGAAAATGTGTAGAAAAATATGGCCTGTTATCCTAACGACAAAAGAAATAGTTTCATGAAGGTGACAGATTTAAGTCCTTATCCGGCGATGTCCTTTGTGTCATCATAAAGAACAGGATTTCAATGATTTCAAATATAGGTTAAGACCCCCTTCAAGTCACATTTATCTTCTGAAAATATGTTTGAAATCATTGAGTTAGTTACTACACAAATACAATGTTTCTTCAATTATCAAAAGCAATATCATATGTATGTTTTTAATTTGAAATTCTACAACATTGACGTAGATTGGTTGTTAACAGATTATCCTTGAAGAGTAATCGGTAGCATCGGCTACGTCGCAGGATGGCAAAAATTATTATTATGCACAACAATATTAACCATTTACGACTATGCTTTATCATATTCTTCTGAAAAGAATCGCCATGAACAGGATAAGTGTGACAATTTCCCTTAAAAGAATCGCCATGAACAAGATGAATGTGCAGATTCTCCTCAAAACAACCGCCATGGATAAGATAAGTACGAGGATTCTCCAATAAAAATTGAGTGGTAACAACGCATGTTTTGTTGTCTTTACAATCCGTATGCCAACAATTCTGAATAAAATCAGAAAATCGAAACTTGTGCCACAATTGTTTAGCCAAGTGAACTTTGTCGAATAGAAATAAAAAAACATCAAGATCATAGCCAAGTGATCGAGGAGACTCAAATGGATACATATGCCAGACTTGTTGTACATAATCAATGAACTTGGATGAAAGATGATAAATTGCATTGCCATTGATGTGAAGAAAATGCTGACCGATCGGTCGTGAACCACGATAGATCGATCCAGTCATCCACCAATCAGTAACATGATACGAGTGTGAACATCGTCCTTCAATGATCTGTTCGATAATAGCATCAAGCCACAAGGGACGAATCGGTCGTGTGTCAGGTTCCATAAGAAAGAAGTGTGTGTAGCCTAGAGCACGTAATGATATGTTACTGTCTCTACTATCGACAAGCAACTTTTGCCACATGACCGCACTACCAAGTGGATACCGATCTTCACGAGAAGTCAGATTGGCCGCTAAGTAACGAATATTTCGATAACACTTATTTACGTAGCCTATTTGACGAACTTCGTTTTCAAGAGATGACAAAGCAGCCTCATTGTGATAGAAGATGAGATCAACAGAATCATACCGATATTGACACGGTAAATAAATATTACTCAATTTCAATTGAATCTTAAGTCTGGCCAGTTGAGATCGAATAAATGGAATAACAATAGCCAGTTGAAATCGCTTTCGAATAATATCGACATGAGGTAAACTATCTTGATGGGTTCGAACAATAAGTGTATCATTAATAGCGATAAGTTCGTTCTTAACGTCTAGTAAACGAATATTTTCGAATGAGTGATATGTCGATGCAACAACTTGTATATTTTGGTATCTTTTCAGCAGTTCTCTCTGGCCATAAGTCAAACCCATATCGCGCACAACAAGATGAGTATGTTGTGGGGCATAGATGTGCAGTGAACCAATCAAATTTTCTAAGTAGGTAAACTGAGAAGCATTGCTACTTGTTTCATATTTTGATGATATTATTTTAGCGATTGAAGGGCCAATCATGATTGCGCAATAATAGATCATGAATATCATCGTGGAAGTGATATTTGGTAAAGTTTATTGTTCTTTTATTCTTGCGGATGAGACAGTCTACAACTCAGTGTGGCAAAAAACCACTACTACCACGATTAATTTTGACTTTGTGTGATCTTTCCGTATCATTCTTGTATGCTTTGTATTGTTCAATTTCTCTGAAACAGAACTGAGACAATTATAAGACAAATAACGTGTGAATGGGTGTATCTTTGTTTCTCAGTATGTACAGGAAGTACGCACTATTACTGTTAATTTAGAAATAAGTCTGAATCCTTGTCTCTCATATTGGAAATTAAATAGTCCGCAGGTCGAGGATTTCGACCAAGGGCCGTGTGAGACCCGATGAGATGCGTTGTCAGATAGTACAAGAAATTGTCGGGTAGCAGTCCAATATCTCCAAGTCTGATTAGATTTCACAAAATATTCGGCACAAGAGCGCGATTAGGAACCTGCAGGATTTCTGAGAACACAGGTCGTGCGTCACAATGAAGGCAGGGGTGATACTTTACTTTTACTTTATAAAATAAAGGTAAATGAATCCTTTACTCTTAAAAAATAAAGGTAAATGGATTCTTTATTTTTAAAAAATAAAGATAAATGATCATTTATTTTTAAAAAATAAAGTGAAATAAATGAAGGAATACTTTATTTTTAAAAAATAAAAGGAAAATAAAGGAATAAATGATACTTTTTACGACGACAGATAACGTAATTGGAAGAGCACTAGAATCATGAAATAAATCTGCAGAGAGATTATTACGATTTAAAAATTTAAATTTGATTTAAAATACGTTTCCCAAGATGAAATTCAAAAATAACAGAGATGAAAGCTTTATTTCTGATCTTTTAGGGGTACTAAGAAAGAGGAAAAGCTTCTTGTAACATTCTAATGTGATCTAAAGCTTTCTATGTATTCAGACATCTTTGTGAAGCTTTATTTCAGAATCATAGAATGTCTCCATAGGATCGATTAGCACTCAATGTTCATATTTCTAAATAGAATTCCTTCATAATTTTGATTTTCACTTCTAATTATCCACAACATTACCCAATATACTCTATATACCCTTGACCTCAGAAAGAATTATAAGCAACAGCATAAGTTTTGTATGTTTCGTGGCATGTCTGCTTGCTTGTGTGAACTGACAAGTACGTATATATTTGGGAGATTTCCAAGAAGCTGTTTAAATTAAGTCCCCTCTATCACGGAAATTTAGTCAGCCACATAGTTTCACCATCTAATTCTTGGCGCATTAAGCTGGTTGAGGATAAGAATCTAACTTTTGGAACTCGGAAGTTGGGTTTCGTTGTAAATATTGGCGCTATGAACGTGAGAAGGATGCATGGTGTCATGACTCTTTCTATGTGTTTGGAAAGGAGTGTGAGTATGTAGCTGGTGGAAGAAAACGTGATCGTGCACCTGAAAACGTTCACTGAAAGAAACAAATATGAACCCGTTTTTAATAATCATTCACACACTCATCATAAACTTCAATTGTAGCGATCCCGTTTCAAAGAAAAAACTTGATGTTGCACTTGCAGTACCAGTACAAAACGCAAGTCAGATCATTACGGTGATATGAATCAAATGGCAGAAGTAACTTAGCTAAAGTAACACGATTTCGATAGTGCTTTTCGTGAAATAAAACATCTTTCGAATAAAAAAAGTACAGATGAATATGAGAAAATAAAGTTAGTGCTTTGCAAATCAGTATTGTTCAATAATTTTGATAAGGACATATAAACTTTAGATATCTTTTATAAGAGGAAAATGGTCTATGCTCACAACTGTTGTCACGCTAGTAGAGAACGATCTATTTAGTCATCTCAATAGATCCTCACAAGTGGCAACTTCAATATGAGCAAGAAACTATTCAAATATACTATTAATATCTGTTTTCTTGACTTTTGCCCTGTGGTCTCTCCTACAAAGTGTGATCATCTGTTATTTTTTCGAAATCATCTACTCGATAACTTCATTAGAGTAAATTTGAACTGCTTGATGCAGTATTTGCTAAAAACAATTATGCGTAACTGTCTTGAAACCTGTGTGAAAATCCAAATTTTATCTGTATTTTTTTTCTCATTTTAAATAAAAAATTAAGTGTCAGCGTAGCAAGAATAAAACTGAGACTCACTCATAATCATTAATTAATGTTCCAAAAAAAGTATATGATTTCTTATTTTAACAGCAAGCTAACAAATGCTTTTCACAGCTTAATTTTCGAGGATATACTTTCTGTTGATTGTATTACAAAAATTCCAATTATTGACTGTTGTATGAGAAATTCCTGTTGGTTAGTTTAACTAAAAATACCAGTAACTTACTATAGCCCGATCAATCAAAAGTCTGAGTTGAAATTTGATTTTTTTTGTATTCTTTTTTATTTCTTGATGATGTATTCTCTTGTTTTTATGTACTATAGATTGATATAGATTACTCATATATTTACCATTATAATACTCTAATGGTCTCCTATCTATACAGTATATCTTAGATTTTTAACCTTTTGTATATGTGCATATATGATTTTGAATATAGTGATTTTCACATACTATTACAAACTTGATTTTCATTTGTATATTAAACCTTGTCTAAACGTATTTGTTATATGGTATGCATACATGACATTATGTACTAATATATTCCGGGATAATTTTTTATATTATGCTTTCTTTTTTTTAAATAACGACATAAAAAGCTCACTTGGTGGCATAGTCATTATGGTCTTGGTACCAACATGTGAACTTTTTATGTCATTATAAAAAAAAAGAAAGCACAATATAAAAGGTTATCCCGGAATATATTAGTACATAATGTCATGTATGCATACCATATAACAAATATGTTAAACAAGGTTTAATATACAAATGAAAATCAAGTTTGTAATAGACTGTGAAAATCACTATACTTGAAGTCATATATACACATATACAGAAGGATAAAAATCTGAGATATACTGTATAGATAGGAGACCACTAGAGTATTATAATAGTAAATATATGAGCAATCTATATCAGTCTATAGTACATAAAAACAAGAGAACACATCATCATGAAACAAAAAAGAATACAAAAAAAAACCAAATTTCAACTCAGATTTTTTATTGATCGGACTATAGTGATTGTGATAGGCTATATATTAATAGAAAAGACCTTGAATAAATATACGAAGAAATAAGAAACATTTTGTTGAACACACGGCAAAGTAGGGATGTGGGTAGAGTATGAGATACAATTGTGGTCGTTTTCTACTCTTGAGTTCAAATGTAAATTTATACTCTCCATCCAACTCCACATACTTATTTACTATGTATCCATTGGATTTCTATTTCGTTGTTTCTTTATATAATTTACTGAAATTTTGTTCTTAAAATATGAAAAAATATCCAATTCAAACTGAAGGTAGTCAAGGAAAACTAACTCATGCACTAGCTAAAAAGTTAGGGTATCTGGTTAAACATTTTTCTATACAATTCATGAGAACAATGTACAATGAAACTGAAGTAAACACGTTCAAACGGTTATCATAGTATTTATAATGTGGCTTTCTGTGAAGAAGAAACAAAAATTTCTTTGAATTATGGTACATATTTTTTTATTCTATTGCCACTACTTTCAGGATTGCAATGAATCGCATATAAACTAACATTTCTGCTCTTTCTATAAGAAGTTGTACTATGTAAGTATTGATAAGATTCATCATAGTTGTTTATTATTTTTTTCTCTCTCTCTCTTCGTCTCTCTTTCGCATACATCGAGACAGTCTCACTTCAGGTACTTTGTTTAGTTCTCATTAAAGGTCCTTGAAAAGAGAATGAACAATAGTTAATTCTTCAAACGTATTTGTTTACTATTTTTTTCAATATGCACGCTATAATAAAAAAAACACGAATTTGTTTTCTCTCAAATGTAATGGACATTTTTTTTTAATATGGATTTTATAACGCTTTAAAACTGCTTCTGCAATTTGCTCAATAGAGAACGTCTTATTCATATTTATTATGGGAATCGTATTGCAGATAGTTTGTTTACTTTGTTTCTTGTTGTGGCCATCATAGAAAATTAAAATAATCACTTTTTTTGAATAGCTTACGTATACTCAGGAAGATTGATATTTATCTTCAAATATATTTTTGACAAGAATAGTGTTGATAGAACGCTGGTAGGAATTTTTTCCTCTTTATAAAGCGTTTTAGTCTTATTTCAGCGACGTCAGTCGCCTCGGAATAAGCTTTCTTTGCTGCTGGCTATGTGCACCACAAACAGCGGTCTTTTCTATCACTAACTAC